GTAGGTTCTAGGATTCATTCTACAAAATACAACAGTATCTTTTCTGGATAAAAGCTGCATAAATTGAGAATTTCTGTATTTTTAGAAAGCTGCGAGGTTCTAAATTTTCAAATGAACTTAATTTTAGAGTTTTAACCAAAATGCTGAAAATCCTATCCATCAAGTGTCCTGATCGAATGACACTTTTATCTTAATATCTATTACTTTGACAATTTCCTCATGCTGCACCATACAGCATACATCCTTCATTTTAACCTCTTGCGCGTAGCTGTACCTTCTTTATTGCATTATCAGTGGCTGTTCAGTCTGACTCTAGTTCTTATCACCTAAGCTTAACCGGAAAAACTATGCCACAATGTTTGGTGCCCCCGGGATTTATACCTCGTTGTGTCTCGACTTGTCTGGTCTGTTTTCGCTCCCCTTTGATAAATAAAAAAGAAATTAATGCTTTCCTGAGATCGTACTAAATTTAAATTTGAGAGTATTAAATTTAGCACTTTTCCTCAGCCCCTCTCTTGCCTTAACTTGATTCAAATTCAAACATCTAATGCCAACAGAAGTTTCAAAAATTTAAGTACCGCATCAAAAAACTAATTCTCAAGCAAGAAAACGAACGATTACGGAAGCTATTCCAGTAAAAGAACAAAAGTAAATTGTCAGGGCAGTCAGGATTTTCGAATGTACCAAGACTGTCCAGACAATTACTGGGAGTATCGGATGTTACTGGATTTTCAGGATCAGCAGTAGATGCTGTTGGTGATGCTGCATTTGCAGTTGGCACCGGTGTCGGCGGTGCCGCAATCGCCGCTAAGGATGTAGCTGGTCAGCTTTTCTGCCCTCGAGGCTTTTTTTATTGCTTTGCAATTTCTCTGAAATAAAATGAGTTGTGAGTTGTAAAAAAAATTTTTAGTCAGCGGAGCAAAAGCTGTTGGAAGCGGAATCTCAACAGTGGTTTCCGGAGCCGGAGAAAAAGTCGGTAAGTAAACATGGGCTGAAAAATGCAATTCGGCATTGCAAATTTTGCAACTTCCGTAATTTTTGATTTTTATTGTTTCAGCACTTTTCAAAATTTCTTGAAAGTTTTGAGTTCCTTGGCATTCCTAAAATTTTTGGTTCTAGTTCTACAATCTTCAGTGATTTCGTAATTCCAATCCGAAAGTTTTTGAAAAAATCACGATTCTGTCATATTTCCGACCCCGCAATTACCATTGTTTTGGTGCTTGAATTTATGAAATTCCTCTGTTTCTGAGTTTGGAGTTTATAAAGATTTCTTGTTTCTGATTTCGATATTTTCTCTTTCTTAAAAACTGATTTGTCAATCCTTTCTTTTTCTAGTAGCTGAAGGGAGCTGCATTTTCAGGTGAAGGTGTTGAAAGCGTCGGTCATGGCATCGCTGGTGTCGGCGAAAACATCAAAGAAAAAGCTCATGATTGAAATTATTCCAGGAGATGTGTTAATGAGTTTTTGTACTCCGTAATTTAACTACCACTTCCTTTTTCTTGCCACAATTTTTTTGCCGCTTGTCTTCCTTCCCTCAAATTGTCCATTAGTTTCGGCGCTTATTGGGTTTGTTTGAAACACTACAAGAAATTTGCTAAAATTG